AAGTCGGGAGCTTTTGGCAGCTCTCGGACGCCGGTGCTGAGCCGCGTCCTTGCGCCGGCACGCGCAAGCGCCCGCGCTCCCACCTCTGCACGAGCCCCAGAGAAGCGCCCTTCTAGAGAGGTGGCTTTCACGAGGCTGCGTTAAATACCTGCCTTATACATCTGATTTTTTCTAGATGAAGAACAAGAAAAGCAAGAGTCACCACCACACTACAAGGAATCAGGTATTAACCGATTTTCAGTTGTTGTTCTTGTTTTTTTTTTCTGAGCATCCAGTTGCTTTGATGTTAATGAGCCGATTTTGCTGTTTTCTCATTAGGAGTGAACTGCCTGCCGCGCTGTGAACACTGCAGAAATGAAAACGTATGGGTTTTTTCTTTTTAAAGAAAAATCACATTTGTATGAGGCAAACTGCAAACCCTAATTCTGGTCTCGCCTCACCTTTTTAAATACGTATTTTTTATTTTACCTATTTACATAGGTCCCGAAGGAGCAGGTGACCCCAAAGAGACTTTCTGGAGAAAAGTACTTGTATGTTCTTTTAAATATAATAGATATACACCTACATTGTTCACATCAAGATCCTTCTCCCTTCAGGTAGAGTGGGAAGAAGAGTAATTTGCTGCACGAATGCGTTTGTAGTTATGATAGAAGATACCCCCAAATCCTTAAAAATAAACCGCTTATAACTGCTGCCAGTGCTGACCCTGATCCTTGTCCAAGAAAGCTCTTAGTTTGGCTTATGGCAGTTTAAGTGTCACTGAAGTAAAGAACCACAGACACATTCCTAGGTACTTTTTTGGTCTGGGCATATCATGGGGTGTCTTGTTCTGCTTCACAGGGATATTTATGCTTCCCATTCGCCCTGAGCAGCAAAATTGGGTGTCAGCCTCGTTCTCCCTGTGCCTGGCGTGGGTGTTGTGCTCCGCGTGGGACGCTGGCTTCCGACGGGAACCGGGGCAGCTGCTTCGTTTTGGTGACGTTTTTTGCAAAAGCTGTCATCAGCCACTCTGGGAAGCGCTTGCTGCGAAGGGGGTTTCTCCAAGTTATCCCTGGCGAAGCACATTTTTACACGTGCCTTGTGTGAGATTTAACGCCTTAGTGGGAGCTAAGCCGACTCTTGTCGATTCTGCCCCACGCAGGATAACGCTGGAAGGGGAGGGCACCTACCAGTGCAGCGTCACGGGCTTGATTTTTGAGGTGACCCAGGCGGTTGCGATCAAATACTCCGTGTTGTCGTGGAGCAAGTATGCGGACCTGGTGGGAAAAACGTGGATCGTGGGAGGCCCTCTCTTCGACATCAGCTGTGCCTCGGCCACGGCGCTCACCTCCATCGAGTTTCCCCATTCCCTGTGCCTCGGCGGTGAGTGC